AGCAGTGTCAGCACTTTTGATCCCACATATTTATGGTTGTACAAATAATGGATTTTTTGGTTTGGCCATTGAATTGAGAAACTGGAAGCAATTCTTGGTTTTAGTTGATCAGAAAGGATTTTTGTTTTCAGGCAAGCTGAAATGAAGCAATTTGCTTAGTTTCAATATCCTCAGTTCTTTCCTACTGGCTGCAATAAAAATGGGTCAATTTCCAATTGAATTTAAGTTTTAATTGAAAACACTATTTTGAAACAAATACTCAAAATATTTTCATTTCCAAAGTTTAGAAAAGCTTTAGGCTTTACTTGTTTGGTGGTGGGTTTTTTTGGCTAATGCTGTCTTGGGATATTTGTCAAATTCATGACTTTTTTTTTTTTTCTCTGAAGTCATGTATTCTCATAAATTCGTTGCTTAAGCAGAATATTTTTTCCCAGCATTTTTAGCAATTTTGCAACTCCTTTTGCCTTAGTGTTTTGCAACATTCCTTTTGACTTAATGTTTAAATAAAAAAATTATAGAATGTTATATAAAGCTTATCACCTGTAGCCTACGGTTTGAATAAACTGTTGTGATATGCAGCATCAGGTATGACTAGACTATCCAACTGTGAGGATGATGTGAGAAGGATGACAGTACAGGTAGCATTCAGGTAGCAGAGATATGGTGTCAGGGATGTAGAATATAATTTTTGATGATATTAGTGGGACTCAGTTTGAAAATATTGAATTAGGTCTAAAATGAAATCACTGCAGATTAAAGGAGGGCATCAAGAAAGAAATTTATAATCAAGGTTGACGTGGTCTTCCATTATCAACAAGCTATTCTGCAGTTGTTCAACCTGAGCTTTCTTGCATTTTCAGCATATCTGTTAATTGCAGTTGTCAGAGACGACATTAGTGCAGAAAAATAAGAGGCTAATTAAAACCAGTAGGTGCTGATTTCTTTATTTCAGCAAAATGAACAAGGTAGCATATTTGTTGGGAAATTCACCTTCTCTTTAGGACAACTTATTTGGCTATCCATACCCAGCAGCACTAGTGCAGGTGGGGTGTGTATTTTAGAAGTTAATGGGATTATGTGATTTGAAAAATTAGGCACTTGGTTACCTTATGATTTTTTGTTTTGTTTTGTTTTTGTTATTACAATAAAATGTACAAACCAGTTCTTCTCACAAATGTCCATGCTGTTCAATAAGAGGTAGATAATAGTGAATGAATACCAAACCATAATACTGTGCTGTGACTAATGGAGTGAGAACACCACCTATTTAACAGAGCTGCTCTGTAGATTTCACTTTACACAAGAAACCCATGTGCTAGGAGGTTGTTTTTAGTTTAAGAACCAGGCTTACATAGTTTCACCACTTTGAGAATTGTTTTTGAGGTCTTACTATCTGGAAGAAGAAGATGAAATTATCTCAAATAGGTATTTTATTAAGTCCTCTGAAAAGATTTTTATTGTCCAAACTTGGGAACTAGCTCTACAAGACACTAGGTATGTGATTCCTCGCCTGAGAATGTGCTCAGCTCTTTTTTTGAGTCAGTTTTTAAGGGTGGTTGCTGAAGTGCGTTACGCTGTCGTGACCTGAGCCTGATGGAAATTCTTAAAGTGTTGGAGAAACTTGGATTAAATGCCACTGATCAGTCAATCAGTGGGACCCAGTGGTTTTAAGATATTACCCTGTGGTATGACTGTGCAGAATCACTTTTCTCAAGGATACTTGGGATATGGAGAGGGAGATACGTTGCTGTCCTGATCCTCCTGGTGCACTAGGATTTCATCTGTAGTGCCCAGGCTGGTCCTGGCTACTTATTGCACTGCTCTGTGTGTGTATATGTGCTGGGAAGTAACACTGGTATCTTTGTTATAAATATATAGGAGGATCAGCTGTAGTCTGGACTCTTGATAGAAACAGCTTAAACTTTAGGGCTCAGACTTTCTATTGCTTTTAGTCTAGCTAAGTGCTGACCGAGAGTGAGAGACCAGATTATCCTGTCACTCGAGTAGGTAGAGAAGGAGCTAAACTGCTCTGTAATTTCTGGTCTATTTAAAAAAAAAAACTTTACTATTATTAGTAAGGGAAGTAGAGCTGTTACAGCCTCTGTGTGAGTCTCCACAGGTAGAGTGTGGTGCACCCATCAGTTCTCAGACAAAGCAGTTCCATGGACCTTTGGCTGCACAGAGCAATGTGAGCAGCTCCGCTACAGGATGGCCTCCCACACATGGCACCTTCTCCCCACCTTCCTAGGTGGAAGAAGGACCTGCCTGATAGGTGTTATGCTGCTGTAGTGAGCATTTGAAATGATAATCTCCAGGATGGATTGACAGGGAAGACTAGCAGTGGGAAGGAAAAGGTAAAGGGAGCAAAGGAGAGAAGAGAACTTTGGGTTTAGGATATATTACACTTGAAATTCTGAGACTGCTCCACTGGTGGGCCACAAAAAGAATTAGATTTACAATTTGAATTAAGTTCTGTAGTAAAATAATTGGACTGGTGAAACAATCTCACTCTCACTAAATTGCTTTCCGAGAAGCCTATCCTGAATGGACCTGTGCAGCTCTTTCTGATATCTGAGCATCCCCAGGTCTCATTGACTTTCCTGGGAATTAAAGTCATTGAACTCCTCACTAGGCAATTAGTTTCTTATAGGTCTAATTTTTCTGCTGCAAAGTGGTAGTTGCTTTTCCCTTCTGTTAGCAGTCAGACCCTGTGCTCCTGCCTTAGCATGCATGTATCATTTAATCGTTCTTTTGTGAGACATGTACTTAAGCATTTGGACACAGATTCTGTTCCTTACTGCACTCTGCGGATACAATCCCTGACAGTTTTGTTACACTGACTGCACAACTTTAGCAAATAGCACATGCAAAATACTTGATGGAAAATCTTTCCAAAAGTAATTCTGTCAAAAGCTCATAAGATTTTGTTTTGGTTTGGTTTATTTCTTTATGTAGGAAGTGTTTGTTTTGGATTCAAAAAGGGATGGACAAACTTCAGATTAAGAGGAGAGCTTCATTAGCATGAAGGATGAATGAGATAATAGATGAAATCAAGAAAATGAGGTTTCTCTACCTTTCCTTTTCATGAGAGAAGACCTATTGGAATGCAGTATATTTAAAGTCCTCAAATTACTGAAGCCATAAATGTTTTTGCTTTCACGGTCTCCATTTTTGCTACTGCACATTTTAGGATGATGGGTTGTGGAGCACCAGGTGTTGAGATGAAGAGAATCAATAGTGTGATACAAAAGATGAAATAACTCAGATGGAACATCAATAAAGGCTAAAAGTTGCCACAGGGATTTGAATCTTAAAGAAGAGCCCGAGAAAGTGTATTAAGAAGAATTCACTTCTCCCCTTGCACTTGTAGTGTCTTTATTCCTTGAGCAGAAGTCACTTGGGGGTTCTTGTCAAGTACAGAGGTGGAGGAATTCTTTCTTTTCTGTATGTATGTGGTGTTCAGCACAACGTCTCCTGGGCACAATGTCACAGTGTCATGGTTATTTCAGGCCACAACTGCTGGGGTTACCCCTTGTGGCACCAAGGATGTGACCTGCTCACGATGACCCTGAGGCAGAACAATTTATACTGATGTTGCACACTGGACTTCAGTTAGAATTGTGACTCTACCACTCTCGTAGTTTAAAAAAACAAACTCTAAATAAACAACCTACGTTTATCTGCCAGAGAGACAAATCAAGTTGGAGCCATAAACACTCCACCTCTGAATTGGATACACATTTTGAAACAGCTGTAGTTTAGACATGTACCACTAAAGAAATATGGGAAAGCTAGGCTGTTAGTGTTGAAAACTTTACCTATTTCTACCTAAGCAAATTGTACGGGACTTACCTACTAATATAGACCATAAAAACAAATCTATTAAGGTAAGGTTGGCATCATCGTTTTTCTTTTGCAAATCAGGTGGTAGTATTTGGCACAAACTTTTTAGGTCACATGCCTGTTTTCTTGATTCAAAGTCAAACCATCATGGAAAGAAGAAAAAGAATACCTTCACTGTTCTGAAATACCTTGGTGTTATTACTAATGTATTAAATGTATATAGAATATACTAAATATATAATAGATTAAATATTTTAATAATGTATTAAAATGCAAGACCTTTTTAAAAATACTACTTCTGTCAAATTACTTATTTGTTGAATTTGTCGAATTCTGTTTTCCAAAGAATAGAGTACTTAGTCCAGCAATTCATTTGAACTTATGACCTATTTCAAGCATGAGAACACAGAACTACTCACATACCTAAAGTTAAGCACAAGATTAGTTCCCAAAGTTAACAGCCCTGCTGGGATGAGATCAAGTGCTCAGCTGTAAGGACCTGATTCTACCAATCTCACTCATGCTTTTGTCTGCAGCAAGACACCTGTGAGATTTCATCCCATGCAAGAGTGGTATAGACAAATGCTATTTATGCCAAAATCTAAGAGATGAAATCTTAAGTTTCAGGATCAGGTCTTCTCCCTTAATGGACTCCTTTGGCAGATTAAGTTTCACAAGGATTCAATTGAGAATGTCCTCTAAGGGCAGCTGCTTTGCAGATGTGGTGGGAGAAGGGCCATAAAGGGGGAGAATTAATTTTTAGCCTAATTAGTACAAGGAGACAGACCTTCCCTTTAACTAGCTGAGACTGATGCTCTTCCTGGGTTCAAACCTTTGATCTAAATTAGGAAGACTAGGGACCTTAACCCAGTCTTTCCCATGCCACAGATGAATGCCTCAAACAGCAGGCTTTTGAGGGGTTTAGATCTTGTTCTAATACTTTCAGGAGTCCCAGAACCTGAGGGTCTCAGTGCAGTCTGCCTCTAAACCTGCAGGCCTGAGCTTTTCTGTTACTTGGAGCAGGCAGTGGGAAGACAGGCAAGAGGTGCAAAACTCAGACACTTCAAAAAAACTTTTTAGGTCACAAAATACAGTTCCTGCCCAAAAATGCTCTATTTCCGAGAGTGACATCAACCTTTTTTTGTGTCTACTTTCAGGTTGCTCCTATAATTAAAGAGAGGATGATGAAGAAGGGCAGCATGATGCTTGGGTACCAGCCTCACCGGGGCAAAGTCAACTTCTTCCGTCAGGTGGTGATCAGCCCACAAGTTAGCCGGGAGGACATGGACTTCTTGCTGGATGAAATTGAACTTCTTGCTAAGGACTTGTAGCTGTAGATCCAGAGAGCCAGGTGCTGCTCACGTGTGATATTTTTGGAGAAAGAGTGGCAGCAGCATTCTGGTGTTATTCTGTGAAGGTAGTAAAAAGCTTGACATATAGTTTGGTAACTGTCATTTTATAGATTGATGTTGAGAACTTTGCAGGTAGAACACCCCTTCACTGGAAAGTACTTGTTGATGGGGGCTGGGACAAGCTGGTACTTGCAGCACCATTGCTACCATTTTAAGGAGTGTTTCCTCAAGAAGGGAGTGCTTCTGCAAATGTTGTCTATGTCCCAGGGAAGGCAGCTATTTACTGGGTGCCTGTGCACAGTATAGCTCAAATTGGTCACTCATGTATGCAGGCAATATTCCTCTGAAGTTGCTGTGAGGAGTGGTTTAGCTCAGTGAGCCTAAAGATGCTAGTTAATTATCTACTCTGTCAATATTTTAGCTTGGTTGGTAATGAAACTGATAAGACTGGAAATTTTGGACTTACATGAAGCTTTCCTCAAGGGCCCTAACTAAGTGGATTGCCCAGGTTTTCTACTGTGAGCACAGGCAGACTAGAACGAGGCTCAGCACAGTCACCACACTGGGAGGTTTGCAGGAACCTCTTGCACAAAGTCCTGAGTAACCAATATCGACCCTGCCAGCCTACAGGATTTTGTGATTCTACGAAACACAGTCATTGGGTCCAGTCAGTGTTTGCAGTGTTGTGTACCCAAAATATCACCACATCTTTAGCACAGCTGAGAATATTGGAATAACCCTTAGAATTTCTTAAGTCTTTGTTAACAAGAGTTGCCTATCATTTCTGAACTGCTGTTCACCTTCTATTTTTAAAGTGTAAAGACTTACTTAGAAGCTTTTAGATGCACTTTAAAATTGTAACAGAGAAAAACAATATTTACCCAAAAGATGCATATTTTTATGCATGGTGACTATATATTAATAATATAGCAGAATTACTTATTACATTATTTGTTTGTATTTTCCTACAGATTTGAGATGACTTGATCTTATGTTGTCAGTGTATAATTTGTAAGTTGACTCTGAAATTACATTAGTAGTAATCAGAGAAGGTCTTCCTGTGACTGTAGGATATGAACAGCTTGAACATTTTTGGTCAATTTTAGGTTAGAAAACTAAGTTCTGCACTTTGTGTTTGTGTTAAGAGTTAATTTTATTCTATAAAAAGTATCTGTTTTATAAAGATAGAAATGTATTTCTTGGGATGAAGTTCTTTCAGCAAACTAATGGAAATAGCCATGTCTTTCACCTTGTAATCAACATCTACTTAACTTTAATGTTTTAATGTTTATTCCTTGTTCTGTATTTGAGGTAGCACTGACCAATAAGAACCTTTCTGCTATAATATTTTCTGTCCTGGAAGCTGTCTTTAAACACAATGCTTCCTTATTTTCATTTTCTACACTGTACTAGGATCTAACATTGCATGAAATTCCTACTTCCAATCTTCAAGATGATGGTGTGAAAAGTTTAGCAAGGTCATGATAACCAAGGAGGTCATAGTATCAGAGCAGTAGTTAGGAGCGAGAGCCATCCTGCAGCCCCTGACAGATGCCTATAACAGTGTCCTGGAGGTGAATACGGTTGTGCTTATCATATTGATCCACTGAACTTTAAACCAAATCCATGTTGATAGTAATATAAAAATGAGTATCACAATGTGACCCCTGGATTTTGCCTTTTAATACTCACAAATCACTCAATCATTAATTGACTTGTCTTCTGGCTGTACCAGCTACCAGGATCTTGGAAAGCCCATACCTTACAGGGCCTGTAAGGCTTATTTTGCCTCCCAGTCACTCTGGGTGGAGTGCAAAGTACACAAGGAGTGCTGGATGGATGGGATGACTTTGCTTCCTGAGATAGACAGGATTGTTATCCCTTCTCCTTCTTTTTTTTTTTTTTTTTTTTTTTGACCTTGAAGGAAAAGACAATACAGTGTCAGGATTGTTTATGGTGAGTACTTGATCTATGATTTGTGAAGAAGTTATGACACCTTTCATCAGCTAAGATTTTGGTCCATGGTGTCTTGTGACACCACCACTATCAGAGTGTTACTGTCTCATTTCTCTTTGTGTTTTTAGTGCATTTCTCTGTTTCCATATACTGTGACACTTATGGCACATGTCAGACTGAAGTAACAAAGTTCCTTTCTGTAGCAGTAGTGGCTAGAGAATGTTTAAATGAGAGCAAACTGGAATTTTTTTCACTTTTGCAGAAAATAGGTCTCTGATCAATATGTACCCTGGTTTCTTCAAAGCTATAGATTTACCTTCCAGTGTGATGTGAGTACCTTATCTGATCTCCATATAATTTCTATTATTTCTGACCCTTTATCGTGTCCCAGGTGCACAATATTTCATGACTAACACGATTTTCTTATTGTTGCTTATTTAAGATTAGTATGTACAAGATGTCTATTTTGTAGCTGATGATTTTAATAAAAAGTGAAGTAAATTACACCCTTATAAATATAGTCTGTGTTTGTCATTTGTCAATCTCAAACCGCAGGGGCATATATATAAAAAAAGGTACCTATGAACACTCCAGATAGCACTTCGGCTTTAAAATGTGAAACCTGGTTTAACCCTGCTTCAGGATGTGGTTTATCTGTGTGCTGCGCCCATATCATCTTTAATAAATGTTGTGGATGAAAACATGTCACAATTTATCTTACTCTTGCAGGGGATAAGTTGTCTGTGCAGAAATGCATTTGATTTTTTTTTTGTCTGTTCTAGCTAGTTGAGATTGGCTCATGAACTCCCTCTCCTAATTACTGGCAAGCACCATCTCTCAGGATGCTAAACCAAATTCTGGAAGTAGTGAGGTACATGGATAAATCAGTATGGAACCTGATCCATTGGTTGAGTTGACCGTAATTTCTTGTCTACCCCCAACAATTTTTTCAAAAGAAAAGGAAAGAACTATTTAGACAGAAGGGATGCTGAGGCAGCTTTTGCTCTTAGTTATGTGGCTGCATCTTGGGAGACCTTTGGGCATTCTGTGATGGGTCCATGTGCAAAAATCACTCACATAAATCAGTATGCCTAGAGTCAGTAGACCCCATCTGAGTACTGTGACTTTCTGTGTTAGATTAGTACTAATCATTAGAGTGTGGTTATATGTGATTTTAGTGCTTCTAACTCCCACAGGTGTAACTGGAAACCCTTCCTGGATTGGGCCCTGAGTTTTATGACTGGGATCTTTCATTTTGATACCAGCAGTTTTGCACTCTGAACATCTCGGTTTTTCTAGTTGAAGTTTGTGCCTACAGGTTCAGATTCATCTTTATTTCTGTGAGACTGAATTGAAATGTATTTTCATTTGTATCCTTCAATGGTTCATTAAGATGCTTTTCAAATAGCATTTGATCTTGTCCATAAAGGACAAGAAATGTCCTTTGAGAAAGGCATGGTAGAACTGGTAGAGTTGCATTCCCAAAATGGTAGGAGTATATAAAAGCCTGTTGTGTGCCTGGGGCTTCCTCATGCACACAGATCACAGCATTAATTCATGCTCAAGTAATTTTTACTTTTAAATCCTTGGGTACCTTTATAGGACTTACAAAACTGATATGAAATGTTGAAGGCAGAGGAGAATAATTCAGAAATACTCAATATTAAGTTTGTTCTCTATTATGTCACACATGAGCTCTGTGACAATCCAAAAGTAAGCTGAAAGTGGTGTTTGAGTCCCACTCTTTCAACAGTGCCAAAACTGCGCATCCTCTCTTCCCCATTGGCTACTTCCATGGGCTTTAACAGGCGAATAAAGCTTGTTCATCCTGGAAATCAGTTGCTGTAGGTAGGGCCGACTCATGCCTGTCCTCCTTTCTGTGGTGTAACTAGTACATACTGATAATTATTTGAACTTATAAGCACTGTGTCTAGTTCAGTAACTGCTAAATATTACTACTGTTACATCCTGAAATAATGCAATTGCACATGTTAATTTTGTCTTAATTGCTCGTGCTAATTGCAGGTTAGATGCAATCACAGCAGCACTGCCTGGCAAATGCACTGTGAGCACAAGAAGCCCTGGTGGAGGGGTTTTCTTTCTTTAAATTGAATCTAGTCTCCCACAATTACATGGTTTTGCTTCAGATGTACAATTAGATGTTATTAATCTAATTCTGTAACTACACAATAATCAACCAAAAATTACTTCGAGAAACAAAGCAAAACAAGGAAATTTGCACTGCAAGAGGTACAATGGGGGGGTGTCAAAGGTTTCAAGGCAAACCAACAGAAGGATTAACCTCAGCTAAATCCGTTGTACGTGGCTGTACCGTGTGGCTGTGCTGCAGGAGTGGAGTGCGGAAACCGTACCAAGCAAAGGATTTGCACATACCCTGGCGCTGCAGCAATCTGCCCCAGCATGCCATGTCCATCCACTGTCCTTTCAGAAGGCTGGACACTTTGTAGTACATTAACGATTTTTGTACATGTCAGGGAAAGTTTGTTTTAAAGCAATCTCAGTAATAAAAGTGAATTGAAGAGGTAATCTTTAAAAGGTCCAACAAAGATGATCACTTTAAGGGTTGGTAGCTCATGTACAACTGAAGAACAATTGATCACATTTTTAAAATCTTTTAAAGAAAACCAGCAAAATTTTTGTTTTATCAAGGATGAAGGCAAATAATAGAAAGTGAAGGACATAGACTTAATAATTCTATCAAACATAGATGTTCTGTTTCAATGAAGTAATTTCTTTCATGTAAGTAGCTTATGCAAAACTATTTAAAAATAGAAAGTATTTCATGGCAAGTGTTGAAATACTTGCTATGAAATAGCACAGGCCCATGGAACGTAACATCTGCCTTTGGGACTGTGCAGTCAATATTGTCTTCTGCCAAACACTGTTTTTCCTAGAGACTTTTACCCAGCTTGTCATTCTGGGAAGTGACTCCTTAAATCTGGCAGGCACTGATACTGGCAGCTTTATCCATACTCCCCTTTCATGCCAGGTGATACAGATTTTATTCTTCCTCTGTTTCTGTGCCCTCTCTCATGCCTGTACGTTTTTTCAAAGGGATATTTTCAGTATTTGGAGCTACAGAGAAAGTGTCAGAGTAGCAAAAGGAGTAAGATTGAAAGCTGAAACAAAAGCAGCTCTCAGGTTGGTATACTGATGTGATGTTTTGCCTTCCTTTTCTCAGCAATGGATTTGTCTAGATGCTCACATGATGATCACTCACTTCTGTCAGAACTATGGTAACACCAAAATCATGACTTCACGTGGGAGACCAGTTTGGCCTCGTGAAACTGAGTAAGACAAAGAGTGGGAGAAAGAAATGTTAGTTGTTCTGTTTTACAGATGAATGATACACAAGGAACTTAAAACTTCTATTTTTGTGAAAACTTGCACCACGGCTTTAGAAAAATTGTTGAACGAGTGACTACTAGGAGACAGTAGTGAGTGAAAAATGGGACATACTGTGATACAGGCTTAGCAGATGGAAATGCTACTACACTAGCCAGAGAGATTTCTGGGAATAGAAAAATTGATTTTATAGACTCGACTCTTAAAGTATTTGCTGTTGTATCATTTGGGAAAACCTACATAAGATGGGAAGCAGGACTGAAAATGTAAGGTGGGTATGACTGACTAGTGAAAGATGAAAACAAATAACTGAGAAAGGAAGATACCTTGGTATTGATTCTGAGCTAATCTAACTTCATACTTTCATCACTAGCCCTTCCAGAAAGATCAGACATATGTTCATGAAATTTGCTGATGAAGCTATGCTGAAAATTTTAGAGTTTGACATTCATGAATAACTAGGTGATTTTTAAGAACAAGTGGCAAGGGAGATGAAGTCAAACAAAGTGCAAAATCTTTGGAGACTTGCAAAAAGCTGCAAGAACTTCTTGGTTAGAGGTAGATCATGTTAAACACTTGCAAAAGAGAAAATTGTGGAGATAAGTATAATGATAGCATAAATAGCAGTGTATAAGCTAAGCCTAAATGATATGTAAATAAAGTCAGCCATCCAAAGAAATTCAGTGGTAAACATCAAAGCAGATCTAGCCTCTCATCTGGAGGAAGCTAGCAGGAAGATAGCAGGAAGGAAACACTAGGTGGGCAGCAGGCTCAGTGGCTGGTCCAGCTCTGTTATCTCAAGCTGTGAGCAGTGAACAGTGAGAATTTTAATTGGTGCCACAGAGCCAAAGCAGAGCATTGCAGAGTTGTGTGCTCCATCTACTGGTGTGTCCTCTGGTAACTAACTTGTTCCACACTTAGGATGTCTCTTCCAAAGAGCACTCCTGGGTGTCTCACATGTGGCAGAGGAGGGAATTAGAAGTAAAATGTCTTGGGATTTTTCAGGAAAAAATGACCGCAATGTCAGAAAATGTTGCTTTGATTTAGGCAGCCTCCTGTGAAAACATTGAATTTCAATGAGCTTTGGGTAAATATATGCAGACGTGATTATTTCTTGTCATCCTGCCTAAATAGTGACCAGAATGTATTTCCATGCTGACATTTCAGTGATAACATTGGTGTGTGTGGGGCATCCAAGCTGAGCAGTGAAGAACTCAGGCCAATGTGAAAAAATCACTTTCCCTATTTTGAGCCTCTCAGTTGAGCAGTAATTCCTTACCCTTTCTTTTTACCAAGGCTAAAAATGGAGTCAGGATCGTACAAGCCTCTTGTAAATCGTATGGCCTCTGAGTGCTCAGTTTCCAGGCTTGATTTTATCATAGAATCAATATACTGAATGGGAAGGGACCCATCAGAATCACCAAGTCCTGACCCCACACAGGACACCCCAAGAATCACACCATGTGCCTGAAAGCATTGCCCAAACATTTCCTGAATTCAAACTGGCTTGGTGCTGTCATAACTTCCCTGGGGAGCCTTTTCCAGTACCCAGCCACCCTCTGGGTGAAAAAATTTGTCCTGATATCCAACCTAAACCTTCCTCAACTCTACTTTGCACTCTTTCCTGTCACTGGTCATGAGAATGAAGAGACTGGTACCTGCCACTCCTCTTCCCCTCACGATGAAGTTGTACTCTGCAATGACGTTTCCCCTCAGTCTCCTCTTCTCCAGTCTGAAGAGACAAAGTGCCCTCAGCTGCTCCTCAAATGGCTTCCCCTCAAGGCCCTTTACCAGCTTCATTGCCCTCTTTGGATGCTTTTTAATAGCTTAATGTCTTTTTTATGTTGTGGTGCCCAAAAGTACACACAGCACTCAATGTGAGTCTGCACCAGTGCAGAGTAAAGTGGGACCTTTATTCTGAAGCAATCCAACTGTTGGGTTTTTTTGTTATATTTTCCTTTCCATTAGAGATATCAGTGTTCTACATGGAGTTGCGAAAGAGGATGTCCTGCCTTCGTGCTCCAGCATATTTTGGAATTTCTCATACAACAAAATTTCCGGCTTCTTGACCACTCTGAAATCAGACCTTGGGAGGCACAGACTGAACAGAGACCTGCAACTCCTGCAGCAGAAAAAGATCTCAAGATGTC